GGCCTGATAGACAAGGGCAAGGAACCAGGCACACAGGCCACACTGCTAAGATGTGCCTCTATGACCCACCTTGACACACCTGGAAGCATGCTCCATCTATCCCAGGGGTGCTGCACAAAGTCAATCAAGTTGAAATTCATCTAATCACCACACTTAACACATACCACAATTTAGATAGAGACTGTCCTCAAAAGGTTGCCTAAAATTAGGAAACCTAAGTCAAATACCAATGAAATGCAATCGCTTTTCCTAATATCTAAATTGTTGACCTGAATATAAATTAAGACAGATCAAAATGCATTTACACTAGTCTAGTAATGAGTATAGGGGAAACTCCAAAGCGCTCTTAAATACAAGAGATCTGACATTTGTCTGAGCAATGTTTTACATTCTGAAAGATAAATTATCAATAAAATAGTGACAAATTACAGAACACTAAGACTCATATCACAGCATGAAATAACATCCCAACCCAAAAAAGAAAAACTTGTTATATCTATATAATCACCATTAAACTGCCAAGTGTATCATAAATAAATAATAAATAAATAGTACGCTACTGATCATTTAAAAACTAGTATTCTGATACTGGATTTTTATTCTTTCTCTGGGAATGTCTAGAGATCTGTCGTCTCACTAGTATCTGTTTTCCACACACTGGTGATGCCAGCAACAATCACTCTCTAAAAGATTATACCGTGTGTTCAGAAAAGCAGTTGGGTGGTAAGATCTCTGGTCTTAAATGTGTGATCCTTCTTCATCAGGTCAGTTGAAGGCCTAGCTCCTAACCCAAAGGAATGAGAGCTGGGCAGAATGAACTTCAGGAATGACTGGACTGCCCATGGATGCTGATACTGACTACAGTGGGTGACACCTGAATGATTCAGAGGCACAATACAGTCAGGTTCCAGAATAGCATCAGAATGAAGGACAGCAGAGACCTGAGTTTAAATTGTGGGTCTTTCTCTTCCCAACTGTGTGATCCAGAGGAAAGTACCTAACTTGATTCTCGGGTTTCCCACCTCTAAAATGGGAGCAGTGATTTCTACTTTACATCACTGTAAAGAATAAATGAGATAATATGTATAAAGCACCTGACCCAAGCACTATGTGCTCAAAGTCCTGGCAAAGCTCAACACAGGAACACTCAAACATTATAATTTTCCTACATTTAATAAGAAAGAAAAAAGCAGTTATGTGATATAAGAATAGATATGCTGAATCCAAATATGCACTTGTTCAAAGCAAGTACAGTAACCAGTAAGATGGGAAGGAAGGCCATATGTTTCCACAATTTAAACCTTTAGAGCAGTGATGGCAAACCTTTTAGAGCTTTCAGTAATAGCTGCCTGCTGCGGCATGCCACCACTGCTTTAGAGTAAAGAATAACTAGCTACACTTGTTAGCATATCACACAATTCCATGCAACTTGATATTAGAGGATACAAAAGAAACAAAAGGAGCTAGGGATCTAGCTCCATGGTTATGGTGTCTACCTCACAAGCTCAAGGGCACTTTGGGACCAAGTTCGATCCCCAGTACCAAAAAAGAAAAAGAAACAAAAGTATTGACAGTCTTTCCACCTTCACTGAACTGTAATCTGAAATGTCGTCGTCCTACATTGTGGGCAATCCTAAAATCTAAAAAAAAAAAAACAAAACAAAACAAAAAAACAAAAAAACGTAAAACAAAACTAAGTGCTTTAATAAATTGTTTGGCAAAATCACTCCTTAAACCTCAACTGTCTAGCAGTTCTATAGTATTTCTATCACAATGAGCTTAAACATTTATGCACCATAAATTTCATCCTGTGGTGGTCCCAAATCCTAATGTGATATAATATATGGTGTGCTTTAGCTTCTAAAAGTACAAACTTTCCAAATTTTAAAATAAAAGTGTGGCTCACAGCTTCCAAGTAAGAGAACCTGAAAATCTCTACTAAGGTAGAAAAAAGAAGGAAAACTGATATGTAATAAAAGAGGTAAAGTGCCTAAGGCAAAGACTTACAGTTAAGAACTTACTGTCTATCCTTTTCAAGGCAATGTTTGCCTTATAATCTTTAAATACACTATAACATAGTAACAGTAATACTCACATCATTGAGTTCTTCTAACACTCACATCATTGAATTCTTCAAGACAAGGAGACAATACACTAAAATGCCTCAAACAAGGCCTAACTCAAAGTAAGTGCCGAATAAGTATTACATAATAGGAGGAGTGTTTAGAAAAGCATTTGAATATTTACTAGATGTGATGGTTAAATGTGTGTGCTGATTTGACTGGACTAAGGAAAATGCAGATATCTGGTAAAACATTTCTGGAAATGTCTATAAGAGTGTTTCTGTAAGCAATTAGCCTCCATGTGGGTTGACAGAGCAGAGAAAACAGGATGGGCATCTTCCAGTCCACTGAAGGCTCAACTAGAACAGGAAGACAGAGGAAGGCAATTCTCCCTGTTCTGGAGCTAGAATATTCATTTTCTCCTGTCCTCAGTCCCAGGTTGAATTCAGAGACTACTGGGTCTAACGCTTCTCAAGCCTTTGGGATTGTACAGACACCAACCACTGACTTTTCAGGGTTCCAGATGGTAGATCATGAACTTACCCTCCAAAATCATGTGATCCAAGTCCTCACAGTGAATCCCTAAATATCTGTATCTACCCTACCCATTCCTTTTCTCTGGACAAACATAATCAATGCACTACAGAAAGGTAAAACAGGTGAATATATAGCTCAGATAGTCTTGTATCTATATTTTGGAGTTCAATATTTTGTAATCCAAAAGTTCTCTTTTTCCTAAGTCTGGAAATATCTCAATTATCAGAAATGGTATTTAGTACAAGCATGAAGGTAGGGGGTTACTTCCAGTGAGCAAATAAGCATTTGGGACTGGTACAGCAGAGTAAGATTTAAAGTTTGTAACGCAATGAGGTATTTTAGAAAGAAAGGTCCTACAAAAAGCTGAGGGGCAGCCCAAAGGAATGCTTTTAGAATTTAATGTACAAAGTAATCAGCCAGAATTCTACTCAAAATGCAGATTCTTGTTGATAAGGTAGGACCAGGAATTCTACTTTCACGTCCTCTGTGAACCACAGTATAACTACTCTGGGGTATAACCACAGCCAGGGTCCTCTAAGTACAAGCAGCAAATGTGAGATAATGAAAAGATGGAAATAAAGTGTTTGTAGATGGGTAGGGGAGGAGGGGGTGAAAGGAGGGCAGGGGTAAGGGAAAAAAATGAGAATCAAGACTTGTCATATGGAGGTACAAGATCCCAACAATGAATGTAACTGTACTGTGTCCCTAAAATGTACCAATAAACTCAATTAAAGCTGGGGGAAAAAAAAAGAGTCTTCTGGGAAGTTTTTAGAACACAAATCTTAGAAGGCAAAGAAACCCTTGGAGTTTGTTAACATAAAGCACTGCTTTAATCCAGACAACATGATTATTTTCCCTGACATAAAATACACTTTTCAAATATTTAATAAGAAAAACATTCTCTCTAACAATTTCCAAAGTCAAAGTCTCTGCAATTACAGTTAAAATACAGGTTTTTATATCATAAGACTCTTCAGGTGAACCACTTTCCAACAGTTCAAAGAGTCCACTTCCATTTTACCTAAGTATTTCAGATATGAGTTTGTAACAAAACTGAACTGAGATTTATATTTATGTTGAGAGCAAAACCAACTACATCATGGTTTAGTCAACCTCTCTGAAGTAATATTTACACATTGCCTGGTTGATATGTAAATATATGTCAACATTTTGATTTGTGGTTAGAGAAGGTCTGTTTATATACACAAATTACAGTGCCCTAATGGTTTGAAACTAAATATGCTTGAAGAACAAAGAACTCGAGTATAAACTGCAAAAACAGTGTCATGATCAAAAAGAGATTTTAGGGTTCTGCAAGTGAAGCCAATTGATAAATTTTATCAGAAACAAGGTGCTAAGGTGTTTACCAAAATTTTCAGAATGAACTAATGCATTCAGAATTCAGAATCAGTATTTTCTTCTACTTCAATAAATGTTTGAATTTAGTTTACCTCTCAATCAAAACTTGAGCATTTATAGTTCTATCTAAAATCTAATTTTGATGGTCAATTCCTAACTTCTTATAGAACACTGTACTTGTTTTACCATTTGCAGTAACCACTTCTGGTTCTCAGTGAGGGGCAATTTTATCACCAAGGGGACATCTAACAATATCAGAGACACAATCAGGCAACAGGTGAGAGAGGAAAGGGTCCTTCCTCTCTATTAAGCAGAGGTAAAGCATGCTACTATGCAATGCACAATTCCCAAACAGCACTAAAGTCAAGCAACTACAAGATCTAAAATGTCAGTATGCTGCATGCTGACATATTGGTTGAGAAATCTGACTGAATGATAGACAAGGCAAAACTACAGAAATATCCTTCTACATCTTCATTATATTCCTAGCACAGTATTAAGGACAATAATGAGGATTTTGTGGTTATTAATTAGAACAATCTCTGTGCAACTGGGATCTTACTCATTGTGCTTTAAAAAAACAAGAAATGATTTGTCATATGTAGTATCTAAAATTACAAAACAAAATGGCAGTCATCATCCAAACAAAAAAGGAATTTAAAAATATTTTTCTCATAGGAAGATGCTGTCGGAGGCACTGGTAGGATGTTTTGGGGATGGAGCAGTCATCTTAGCAGTAAACTCATGATTCCTTTACAATTCCATTAAAATATCAGTTTTCACTGTTGACTCACAATAGTACCAATGTCCCATACTTAAATTAAAAGTATTTCTTTGGTAAAAATTAAAATCAATGTGCCCTATGTGATATTTCATAATAGGAAACAAAATACGATTATTTTCTAAAAACAAATCATAGACTTCAGTGGCCCACAGACATTTAAGCTTTGAGACAGCTGGGATTTAAAATGTCATGAGAAATTCAGAACAGGCTTACATTTTCTGAAACACAGGAACTGACAATTACAAGGGCAAACATACCCTTAATAATCGATTCAGCCGCATACAGATCTCGTTTGTAGGTCACCTAGAGGACAGATAAACTTCATTAGACTCAACAGAGTAAGAAGGAATGTGAAAGCAATAAAATGCCCCCAAGGAAATTCTGGATTCAGGAGAAACTATACATATATATAGTATTGACAATGTCTAAATTAGAGTAGGATTAGCAAACTCACATTAAATCTATTTCTACACAATTAAAAGTTTTGTTTAAATCTTTGAATTAAGATATTACTTAGCAGTAATTACTGAAATGTTATTAATATAACTGAAATACTGTAATCAAAGAAAATGTGATAGTGTTCAAATAAAAATGTTAACATTATTATTTAATAGTAAAAGTTTTATATTGAAAAGAAGGGAGAAAGGCTCTGTATTAAAAAAAAACAGGAATTATTCTCAACTGAAATTCTCAAAGATCAACTCATATTAAAAGTGACTTCCTTCTGAATTGAAGACACCTTTACATAAACAGATAAGAATCACTTTGTGATATTTTTATTAAAATATGGCTTTGATAGCAAGAGTATGTAGAGTACCACTGTATGCCGAAGATGGATACTTTTTTTTATCTAGAAACATACAGCCACCTAATTGTGTTCTGCTCATTGTAAAGCAACTGGTCACAGTATGTTTTTTTCTATGGGGCAGATATTTCCCAGATCTTTCTCAGTGGGCTCAGGTAAAGAATATGAAAGTGCACTGGAGAATTAGACCTCATATTACAGAAGGCTATAGTACATTTTTAAAAATGATATTAAGTAAAATAAGGTCATAGAAGCTCATCATTGTAGTACACGATTATAATGATAATCATCCAATTACCCATTGCAACAAATGTTCACCTAATCGGTACCTTATTGTACCTATTGTTTTTGGACTTTCTTTCTCTGGATTAGCTCATAACTGGATTTACAGAGATGCATTATTTAGATCAAGCAAACCAGAGCACTTCTACACAAACTGGATTCCTCTACTATACCTTTATTTGGCAAGTACATTCTGAACCAAAATTATACCTTACTCTCCAAAATCAAAGTAGCAGTGAATTTGGTAAGACACATAAAGGTTGCTCAAGAATTCAATCTATTGAAATTTCCGAATTTTCTCTAACACAAGTACATACCAACCAACATTACTGAATTCCGGAGCTAATTAGTGATCTACAATGTAATTCTGTTATCTGGAAAACAGATAATAGGAAACAGACATGCTATGCATTTTACCAAAAGTATTGATCTGATTTAGTCTTTCAACAATTATTTATCAAATGACTATGTTCTAGCCCTAGCTCTAAGTGCTCAGACCACAACAAGGAAAAGAGCAAGCAAAATCTTTAACCTGTAGAGACTGCAATTTAGTTAAGAACTTTTTTGTGTGAAATTGAGTAAAACTAGTTGAATGCTTTTTCTTGAAAATCTAAACTTAACTACATATCTGAAGTCATTTAAATTAGAAACTATCTCTATAATAACTGCCTGCTACATAAATCTACAACAGATATTAGCAGCCATTATTCATTTTTCTATCCCCTCCTCTCTTAAGAGATAAAACTATATTCTAAATCAAAATAGTATTATGAAAGTAACATTTTATTCATTTTTTAATTTTTATTTTTTTGGTTTTTGAGACAGGGTCTCACTGTGTAGCTGAGACTGACCTGGAACTCACTCTGTAGCCCGGGCTGGTCTCAAACTCACAGCGATCCTCTTGCCTCAGCCTCCTCAGTGCTGGGATTACAGGCATGCACCACACCAGGCTCTGAAAGTAACTTTTTAAAAGTAGAGCTTAATGCTGGATTTTTAAATTAATAGAAAAGCTATTCTCTAAAATGACCTACAGAACATAGGACTTAGAAAATTTTTGCATTGGAATTAGTCTTATTATTGAAATACACATTTTATTACCTAAAATTTTGCTCTCTTCTAATATTAATTATCTAAAATAGAAAAGCTCTTAAACGTATTATCACTGTCAACTTCATCCTATAGGACTGATAACCTCCATCACAATTCTCAAAAAAAAAATGATTTAGTGAGAATAAACTATAGAAAATATTTTTGAAAAACTTTGAAAGTATACAAATTTTGGAAGAACAGGCTTATTTTTTCCTAAATAAAAAAGTTGGTATACTTCAAAAAGAGTGTTACTGGAAAATGTTGTAATTCTAAATTGATGAGTTATTCATTTTTCTTTTACAGTAATATGGATTGTTCTTTCTTTAGTTTTAATTTTTAAAAGGGCATCCTAACAATCAGTTTTAAAGATGATTTTCTTCTGGCAGCATGATCTGTAGTTTTCCTTTGACTTTGCACAACACACTATTATGAAAAATACTACCAAAAAAGGAGGGGCGGGGATAGAATGTCAATTCTTTCATTGACTTCTTTTCAAACTGTGATAGCTAAAACCTTGAGGGCCACACCAAGACATCAAGAATGGCAACAGAGGACCGGGGATTTAGCTCAGCGGTTCGGTGGCCTGCCTCACAAGCGCAAGGACCTGAGTTCGATCCCCGGTACCAAAGCCCAACATCAGCCACTATCCTAATTCAGCTCAATTCTTGTCTATTTTGTTTGATTGGGTCTCTAGGCAGTAACTCATTGGAGTAATATGTTTAGCTGAAAGACAAAACTCAAGAGAAGAGAAACCAGAAGTTCACAGCTACAGACATAATTGTATTCTCATTACTAGGCCAGGACTCTCTCCGCTACCTCAAGGAATCATCCGACTCCAGCTGTGATGATTTAAACTGCATTTTGTTGTTTTCTCTCTCTCTCTACTGAGACACAAAACAGTAAAGCAGATCTTGCACGACAGAGCTGAGTTGAGTTGGCCAACACCTTCCTTCCCTGAGTAAGACTACATTTAACATTCTCTGACATCTCACCTCATAAGACAGTGAGTATGTAACTCTAACACTTAGACCTTTTTTTAAAAAGCTGCAAATCCTTATATTTTAAACCCATACAATGTTCATTATGCACATAGATGTTTTTGGAACTTTACTTCCATTTCATCACTTATGTACACCTAGAAAATGCACTTTTCTCAGATGGATAACTATATGAAAACCTTTAGGAAAGAAACAGTGTTACCATATTGTATTGTTGAGGTCAGAAACTAAACAATGATATTTTGTTTCTTTTGTTTTTAAACAAAGATGCCAGATCTAAAAAATGCAGACCTCATCAAAAGAAATCCTCAAATTGTTCATTTCACTAATATTGTGATAACAAAAACATTTCAGACTCCTCTCAAGTAGCATTTCCGGACAATGTAACATAGTCGTTTAATTTCTTCAGTAGCTTATAATAGGTTATAAATCTCATGCCTTGAAGATGGTTCTGACATGGAGAAACAAGTAGTCTGTTCAGTCAAGCCTGCACAGTGCAGTGAGTGGCCCAGCTAAGTATTTAAACTTAGGACAAAGTTTATTAGGACAAAATCATAGCACAACTATGAACTTAAATTCTTATGAAGACTACACAAAATTTTATCCCCGCCAAAAAAATGGTTACTGAGGCCTGTCACAGATGCCTAATCACAGGAAATCAGAGCAGAATGATTTCCAGAAGTGAATGCTGTACATTTTTGTGGTTGGTCATTCTAGGGAGCTGTTCACAAATTGTGACATAAAAAGAAAATGATGTTTTGTCAGACACTAGACTAGCCTGCAGAGGAAGCAGGCATCAACTCTGAATGCTTTCTGTATTAACTTCTATAAATTATGTCAAAAATATGTCAAATTCAAAAATATGTCTAACATTTCACCTAGAATTTCAGGTGGTGGTTAAAATAGTCCCCATGCATAACTTTCTAGTCACTGTTCCTCTGGTTTCTAATTGGTAGGCAAAGAGACAACTCCCTATTCTAGAACCTTCTCTAGCCTCACTATTTTAAAGTATGGGCTATTCTTGGTTACCTCAGAGGCAACTTTCATTCATTACATCTAACTTCCAAACCACATTTCAAGTACTTGGTCCTGCTTTCTGGATTCTGCAGCAGTTTTAGCAATGTAGCACATCTAAGAATAATTTCAAAGAGTAGATTTCACTGTTGCAGTTTAAGTAGCAATTAATATACTCTGCTCATAAAAGATAATATTACAAAAGTAAATTAAAAGTCTACAGACAAATTTTAAAGGTTACCAAAAAGAAGAGGGGCCAACAGCAAAGAAAATGGCACAATGACACAAGACAGGAGGGAGGAGAAGAAGATAGGAAATTTGGAATAACTCGGAACCTTTACTTTCACAATAATCTCATTTCACTCCAAAAAAAAAAAAAAACACACACACTTATGGTACATGAAAACACTTATACAGTGACCTGCAGGACACATTTTTCCCAATCCACTGCATCACAGGCCTTTTATTGTCCAACATCCCTTTGACATACATCATTAGTTTAACCTCACTCCTAGCAGGGAGGCTCTCGGACTCTGCTCCAGTTTGGGAAGAGATGCTATTCTCCCACCCACTGCAGGCCTAAGTATGTCACTCCTTGTGCACATGTCTTGCAAGGTTAATGTAAGAAATCAGTACAAACTGGGTGGCTTAAAGCAACAGAAATCCATTCTCTCACAGTTGTGGAAAGATCCAGGTCTGAAATCCAGGTGTAGGCAGATCCAGGCACCTTCTGATGCTTTAGGGAAGATCCTTTCCCAGCCTGATTCCTAAATTCTGGTAGGCCTTAGCATTCCGTGGCTCATAAATGTATCGCCTTAATCTCTGCCTTCAAGGTCATACAGCCTTCTTCTTCTTTCGGTGTCTCTTCTATTCTGACAAGGACACCAGTTGTGATGGGTTTAGGATCCACCCTACTTCCCTATGACCTCATCTTAATTTGATTACACCTGCAAAGACCTGCTTAACAAATAAGATCACACTAATAGTTGCCAGAGTTTATGACCCAAACATATGTTCTCTGGGGAGACAACTCAACTCCCATAATAGCATGTGCAAAAGTGACTCACCAAAGGAGCCAACAAAAGCACTGTGGACAGACCAGGCACATCACAATGCCCTGGCATTCAGCGCACAGAATGAGGAGGCACAGAGTGGAGATGCATCTGAGAAATAATTCTCTGTTGCCAGAGAGTAAGGAAATAAGTCCACTTTAAAATAAATAGCTTAGTGAAAAGAGAGTGAAATATTTAAAGTGCAATGTGATGTTTCCCTGTCAGCCACAGACTTCAGGGCTTTAAATGCTTAATGAAGGCTCAGAATACCCAAAGAGGTAAATAGTCATGCCTCCAAAGTCCAGTGAAGCCAGAGTATTGACAGGTGAGTAGCAGCACAGTGCCTGTTTTTCCACTTTTTTCAGGCCTTCAAATTAGGTCTAGTAGATAGACAAAGGAGTTATGCACCAGGATCTTTAACAAAACACTTAACTAGCAGTTGCCAAAATCCTCACAGTTCATCCTAGTAGTCTACTAGTAGTATAACAGAAGGATGTGATATGTATATATGGTGAGCAGTTTCCTTTGGAGCACACGATTAAATCCCAAAGATGAACAGCAATAACTGACTCATTCCAGAGGCAAGATGTCAAACATATCCCTAAATAGCCTCAGCAATGCCCATCAAGTGCAACTGAGACAAGCCCATGGAAGGCAGGTATAAAAAAACACAAACAAAATGAAAAAACACATTTGCTTGCTGGGCTGATAGCACATAGACATCCTTAAATGGGGAAAAAATACTGCATGGTATTTTTCTACTAAGCAATAATCCATGCATGTGAATAATTCAGGTAACTATACTTATACAGCTCAGGAAACCCAGTGGGACTCTTCTGACATCTTCTAAGCACTCTATCACTTTAGAGTGTAAGTGCATGTGCATACCCTCCCATGCACACACAAGCAGAGCAGAACCAGAACGAAGGACTTTCTCTTACCTTCCAGAGATCAGGAGATCCTTCTACAAGTTTGGCGTTTGTATGACAATATTTTAGAGCCAACTGCAAACACTCAGTTCCAAACTCCAGGTCATAGTCACTACACTAGTTTAAAAAGAAAAACAAAGAAAGGAAGTTAACAAATGACAATACTGTTCAAATAAAAACAGCCCTTTTATTTCATAAACAATTGCAGACACAAGAGGAACAGCCCAGAGAACTCACAGACCATTTAATAAGCCAATGATTACATTATAATATAAAGCAAAACAAAAGAGAGTGAAAAGGAATGTAGCAACCATCCCAACAGCTCCGAGTCCCCTCAATAGTTTCAGGTGACAGGTAAATGCAATATTTTATTTCCTTTGCTCAAAAGCTTTCTTTTCCTAAGCCCCTTACAAAATGCCAGAAGTTACAGCTGAGGAATTACTGTATGAAAACTCTTCATTTAAGAAATATATTCATTCGTAAAATCCAAATCCCGTATATTATATTTATACCTCAAGACATTTATAGGTTGCAGTTCTCTTATTCATTTTAATACTTAAAGCATCTATATATCCTCCTTAAAAGATTTACATATTGTTCCTGAATATGGAAAGTCAGTCTTTCATTGTGAGAAAAAAAAAAAAACATAAAGAATGGGGGAAGGGAATGAAAAAGAATTAAGTTGTGTTATGTGCATGCGCCAACTCCACACAAGGAATGTAACCGTTATGTACTACAAACATGCACTAAAACAACTCTAAAAAGTAAAGCGAGTTGGGGATGTACACCAGTGTGTCAACCCTGGGTTCAAGCCTCAGCATAAACCAAAAAAGAAAAAAAATCAACAAAATATAATTTGAAGCATTATATATGCATATAATTTTGATAGAATCCCAATTTGTGCTTTTGGCATCTGAGCTATGCTACCTACTAACATGTGATTCAGCTGCCTGAATAGTGAACAGAGTTCTCTCCTTGATTCATGGATAAATTCCAAAGATAACCAGCAATAACCATGACTTTTTCCCTCATTCCACTAAAAAGATAATGAATGCATTCCTTGATGACCTCAGAAGTCATATACATGGTTTAAAGAACCAAACATCCCCACAAGATTTTATGCACTTTGTCTTCCTGGAAGGCAGTCCTTATTCCTTCTTTTGACCAACTACTCTACTATTTATCTACACGTGCAACAGTCAACTTCTGCTGAGTAACAAACATAAAGAAAATCTCAATGGCATGTAGCAGCAGACTTAATTCTCACTCACATAGTTTTGTGGTGGCTGAAAATTCTGCTTCAGCCGAGGGCTGGGGAGCTCTGATCCATGTGTATGCCTGCCATGGACACTGGAGGAAATAACCAGAGTATGTTTTCTTATGGCAAAGCAACACAAAAGGACAAGCCCAACAGCACAAGTATGTTTTAAGGGTCAACCTATGTTACATCTGGTAAAATCCCACTGTCCAAAGCAAACCAGGCAGCCAAATCCAGAACAAGGATGAGAGAAATACTTTATCCAACAGGAGGCCATGATGAGGGTACAAAAATCGGACAATTTACAGAGGATGAAGCACCCAGCTCTGTAACTTGACTATCATACAACCCCTCTAAAGAATACTTTTCATACTGTCTCTTGATGTTTCTGTTTTGTTTAGAATCTGTAATTTGTCCTTTCCAAACTCACCACAGTACATACCCACACTTCCCATTCCCCATCATTTCAATATCATAATTTTCATTAAATTAATACTGTTTATATCCTTGACTATATGAACACCACTCAGCTGAATCAAATATTGTTAAAATCCTTTCTTGAATAACTCACTGTTTTCCATGGAATTGGAGCTTATCTTCTGTTTTGATGTGGTTAATTTCTATATGCTTATGATTCATTCAACACCAAACATTAGCTTTTCATCCAAATCTATTTTCAAGATGTTCTAACACATAAAACATTTCACTACTTTTATCTTTTTTAAAAAAATTTTACCACTGAAGTCTGCTAACGTTTTGCAATATGAACTGCCAGTCTCACAGCTACCAACCAAGAACTCTTTATACCACCAGCATGGGGATATTTCTTCACCTCTAATGTATCATGGGCTTTTAATCTGCGTATCCTATGTAATCGTCTTTCTTAACTGACTTGTTTTCCTAGAACAAACCCTCAAATAGCTTTCTATAGTGCAATTGTGTTGAAATGCTTATGGGAACTTCTGAGGTCAGTATTTAAGACTTTCTTCTTAAGAATAGACAGAATGCCCAAACAAAACTCTTTCAAGTCCCAGCCAGAAAAGAAAGCCAAGCCACCAAGATGGTCACAAAGAGCACTTTGCTCATATCTACCTCTCTTAAAATAGTCAGTCACAGCATACAGAAAGAGATTTAGAGATCAGACTGCCACTTAATCACCCTTTAACAAACACTACTGATCCATTCAGTTCCTGAGGTAGTTGGTGCTACGAGATCCTGAATTTTTAGAATTCTACAGCAAACTCTTTGCTTGCCTCACTATTTGCTTATAATTTGGCCTCCTCACATCTTCTGAGTCTGTCACTAGCAATACTCTTGCTTTCCAGTTTTTGCCAATGTCATCTCTATGATTTTTGTTCTTCAGTTTATGTCACTTTCTAGCAGCTTTAATGGAGGGTTGAGTAGCACGTGAAATCACATAAATCTCTTCCTAGAAATAGGAGTATGTACATTCTAATTAGACAAGTATTCCAAATTGCCTTCCATAAAGGTGTTTTCCACTGATATTCCCATAAGCAATGTAGGAAAACATGGCAGACCTTTTAATACGAGTTAAAATAATATGATTCACCGGGACTGATAAACCTATTCTGTGTATAATGCAAGATTTCCCTGGGAAGAGATTTACAACTTTCAAAGGTTTTGTAACACTAAAAGTTAGAAACCATTGTTTTGTCATAACCATGTAATGGTCTATGACTACAAGTAAACTGATTACCTATCCTTCCAACTTTAACATAATTCACAATACTATGTTGGCAAGGCAGCCTGGGAAGTTTGCTTAATAAGAAACCACATATACATTAGAGTGATACATAATCAAAGGCATGTATGCACAGGTTTCTCTTACTGCAGTTGTAGGGCTATGTTCAGAATATTTCAAGTAGAAACAAAAGACTATCTTACACTTAGGTAAACAATGAACACCTGCATTCAATTTATCATCTGAAAATCAAACCTAAAATATTTTGCATACATTTACATTGTTTGAATTATGCAATATATTTTAGAATTGCATGAGAGACCGTTGTCTAAGAAGCTTTGTTTTTATTATATATCAGATCATTTTATGAACAGAAAACCAAGTCAGACTAAGTCTGCATGAATCTAACAATATAGATAAAACCTCCGCTCTGTAACAAATAAAAACACTAATGATCTGGCAAAGGACAAGATTTCTTCTTTGAGTAGAAAAATTTTAATGAGCTTAAACAGAATTTCATTCACAGAATTCTTTTATATAACTATCAGTGGGGAAAAAATAAACTTACAATTAATTCAAATTTTTAACAGCCCTACCCAAACAAAATCCATTATGAACTCACAGACAACCCCATCATACCTGTCCGTTAAATATTACCTAGATTATGTGTGTGTCCAAATAGTTTAAGTGGATATATGAATTTCACCATTAAAATTGTGTTTCCAACCATTGCTACTGAACCACATAATCAAATATTGTCAAATGCTATAAAATGTAAGAATTTCAATGAGATGTTTTACTCTCTCTTTTCTTCTTTGATAAAGTAAACTGATCAAAAGTTTGGCAATAAGAGGAGAAAAAAGATAGTTCCATGAAACACACATTACTAGCTATGTATCATGTGATCTATCTAACACCAATGTAAACACTGAAGGAAAAGAATCAAAATATTGGATCACTATCCAAAACAAGTGATAAAGCCAAAATTCTTGAGAACAGTTACAAGCCTTTTGCAATAATCTCATATAGAGACTATAAGAATCTGAAATAATTCATAAGATACAGAGAAAAGAGGGCCCAGATTCAGAAATTATTTCAGTAACAATGGGAGTGGTCACATTATTAACCACATTGGATGATGTAGTCAAAAAAATGCATTGGTTAGGCTAGTGGGTCACATATGATTTAACAGTAGTTCATCTAGTAAAAAATTTTCACAGGCAGTTCAAGATATATGACCATTATGTATGGAAGAAAAATGAAAAGGAATGATTAAAAATTAGAAAACATTTACTCATTTAGTGAACAAATAATTCTGGAAAGTTTACTAAGCAATATAGTTGAGAAGGATGAGAAAGGTTACCAAAAAAACAAAACAAAACAAAAAACTTAAGATCACCACAATGGATGTATATTCATTCACACACTGGGGAAACTAAAGAAGAGTGGTCCAATGATTCTCTTCAGATCATGTCTTCTTAAAAAAAAAATACATTACACATTATACGGGAGATAAAATGAGTTTAGCATAAGCAATTAAAATTATAACAACCTGCTATAGAAGCTACTCCGAATACATCACAAGTGTTCTATTGACCACTTTCCCACTTTCTAGACAAACACCATTTTGCACACTTACTCCTCACACTAATGTTTAGTACCTTCTACCTTCTCTCTAGTTTTTGGTTCATATATTTTCAAACCTTTCTTGCAAGTCTTGCAGACTAGCTCCCACAGCGTCAACTCTTGACTAAAATATTTTCTCTGAAACAGGATGTAGGTCCCTTTGCTTTACAAATATCTTTTCTATGTCCTCTACAGTTTATGTTCTCCAGCATGAGAGATGTCATAACAAAAAAAATTAAATTTGCCTAAACAACGAGGTCATTAGGTGAATGCTAATCAAATACAGCTTCTCTACAATAAAACAGAATGAAATACAGATCTACCCAACAACATGAATGAATCTCAAAATTATGTTTTAAATAAACAAGCATAACAAAAAGATCACAAATTGATGGTTTCAGTTATATGACCTTCAAAAAAAGAAAACTACAAAACAGATTAATGGCTGCAAGGGCCTTCTGGTATAAAATCAACCCGACCTCAAAAGGGCACAAAGCAGCTTTTGTAGGGTGATGGAAACATTCTTTAGGT